ATGTGAAGCTTGTAAGCAAATTCTAGACAGGAAAGGAAGCTCATGCTAGCATCTCTGGTGGGGGAGACAAGCTCTCACCTGCGTACTACAAGGACTGTGTTAGTCTGAGGTCATGTGAGTGCACTAATAAATGAAATGCAGGTGAGAAGACTGCCTGTCCAGGTGACGTGTCTCTCAGCCTCCCGGTGAGGAGAACCCTGAGGTTGGGGCTGAGAGTCTCAGGAGCTCCGACCCTCTCTGCACTGCTCACCTGGGAATGCGTGGCTGGCTGCTTTATTGCTGGACTAAAAATATCCCTTAGTTATTGTGGATTGATCAGGTCTACAATCTCCCAAAAGAGTGGACAGCAAAGGTGAAATAAAAGAAGCAAATCAGATGATTTCAGGGCTCCAGGAAAATCAGAGCTTTGAATCAGAATTCAAGATTCTCTTGGGGCTAAGACTGAGACCGTTTCTGGGTGGCCTATATTTATTAGTTATCAGACAAGGGAGGGGAATACTGAAGAAAGACAGGAACTGCTCAAGCACTTCTCCAAGTAAAGCATTATGTTAATTTAGGAGACCTGTGTTAAGTCCAGGATGGTCTCCACCCAGAAGTGAGGTGCTGGAGGCTACAGTCTTTATCTGCTTGAGGTTGGATCCAGGCCTCCTTGGCTGTAAACTTGTCTTATCCTTTCACTCACCATTATCGGCCTCAGTAGGGACCAGGGACTCACAGAGGTTCACGTACTATCAGTCTGCAGCCCGTCTCCACACAAGGGGTGTAGACTTTGGCCAGCTCCACAAGTAAGCATGCAAAGCCAATTGGTTAATTTAAGTCCTGCTCAGAGCTGCTTCACAGTGGTCTCCATCACTTTATATCAAAGGGACCTGGAGGGAAGGGATTTGTGCTTCCTACCGTCCCATGAGCTGTGACACCAAGACAAACAGCACTGAATTAAGCATGTGTGTCTACTTTTTTAATATTAAATTTTTATTTCTTCTTTTAGTTTCCTGGGACTTCATTTTAAATAATGCTAAGTGTTTCCAAATTATGCATGGCCCTAGAGCCTTAATCATCAGAAATTCTGCCTTAAGGAAGAAGTAAATAAGAAAATACTGAGTGTCTTTAAACATAACTCTAATTGACTTCTGATTTGTTGTTCTGTGAGACTACTTAACTATGATTTAATGATGCTCCTGTCAGAGAACTTAAAAAATACTTTAGATGACAGTGTTTGAAGTCATCTTGGTTTAATGGTCTGCTAATTTTTAAACTTAAATAATATATGTAGTGGGAATAGATTGCTCTTTGAGTCATGTACTTAATAACAATTGTCACATAAAGCAAAGCAATGGTGTAGCTATTTCCAAGATGTTCACAAATGATGGGGTTAGTTGGCAAGAAGAAATGAGTACTCTTCCATCCCTATCTACATAAAATGTTTGAGCACTTAGAATATTGTTTAACAGCAGGGATGGTTTGCTTATAATCAAAGTATATATCCCAGGTATCCAGTTCACAACCTCACATGCATATAGTAGGAGTTCAATAAATACTTCAGTGAACATATCTCTGAAGCTTTGAAATATGCATGCTTCTTATTCAATATCTGCCTGCCCCAAATCTTAGGAGTAAACACAGATCATTGGGGTGGGGGAGGCACATCTCTCCTAGCTTGTCAGGAACCCACCTTAGCTGCAGTTTCTACATGCAAAGGTGGCACTTTCTTTTGCGTATGAATAGATTGAGTAGCCCTGCTCAGAAATTCTTGGGGCCAGAATTACTTCAGGTTTCACGCTTTTTAATTTTGGAATTTTTGCAGGTACATGATGAGATATTTTGGGGACAGGGCTCAAGTTGACGTGAAACTCATTCATGTGTCAGACATGTCTTATGCATGTAGCCTGGAAATGGCTTTACACAGTGTTCCCAGTGCCCCTGAACTTTGGTTGCAACCCATGACGAGTGTCCTGGTTGCAATTCCAACTAGTGCTATCATGCAAGGGTTCAAATCACCTCAGATTTAGGAGCATTTCAGATTTTTAAATTAAGGATGTGCAACGTGCAGAAAGTACTTCCCAAAACTTTCCACGTGGCCAGTCTCACCATCAAGGAGCACAAGAGAACACTCGTGGTACATTTCTGGTCTTCACTTCCCCGAGTCATGAGTGAAAGAGTGAGGCATTCCTCGCACACATGAGTGGCATAGAGGTCCGCAGCCCTTCGGGACACACTCGTGGAATACCTTCTGGGTCACAGACACTACACTGGGTCCCTGACACACAGAGATTAGCATCGTGGCCCCTCCACACTCCTAAGCTGGACCAGTGCAGGCTCCCTCTGTTCCTGCAACTAACGGCTCTGGGACCTCTTCAGCGCATGTGCTCTGCCAGCAGAGACACGTCCCGCAGGTTATAAAGTCGTCTTTCCTGCCTGGCAGTCACGGTAGTCACACTTTCTTTACATCCAAGTGCTGCCTGGCCTTCTTGGAATCAGCTCTTCGCTCTCATTAGTCAAATGAACCGATGTTATAGAGCATCTCTGCATCTTCATTAGCGATAACGATCATGGCGGTTTCACTTCAAAGGGAATTGCAGGTAAAGATCAAAGACAGACCAGAAATTGATATGAGATTTTAAAAGTGGTATTACAGTATCAACTTTTTAAAGAAAAATATTATTATCGACTTTCTGTTGCGCAACGGCAGATCTCCCAGAGGCTGAGGTTCTCACCTAAATAAATAAACAAAGCCAAACCTAGCTGACCAAGTCTTGGGAAAACAACTCATCTTTTGCTCCATGTGAAGGATCAGACAGCAAGCCAGAAGCTGGGTTTTAAAGGGCACTGCTAACAGGAGAAGGGAGAAACGTCAAAACCGTGCTGTTAACCCGACTCCTGTCTCGATGTTTTCACTGAGGGTTTTTTCTTGGTACCTTAAAAATCATGAATACTGTGTCATTTTATTATTTCCAAGGAGCACGTGGGGAGACGAGGACGCCTCGTGAGAGCAACAGCAGGTGTGTCCTGCACAAGCTGCAGCAGGAACGTCAGCAGGAAGGAGGACAGGACAGAGTAGTCAGACTTCGCTGCCCGTGACAGTGGAGTCTTGCGTGATGATAAGGTGTTTGCCGCAGCAAGTCAAGGGCGTTCCCAGCACAGGGGACAGTGAGCATCAGCACCAGGGTGTGGCACAGCGAAGTGCACATGAAGGTCTGGAGGCAAATGGGGCCCGACTGGTGGACATAGTAGCCAGCAGGACTCAGGGCTGGGCAGGGACAGGACACTCACACAGGAACAGACTGTGCATGAGGGTCTCCCCCACGGGAAAAATCAGACTGCGTTTGCTGATGGCTTTGACAGCACACAGGGAGTGGCTTTCAGGCATCCTGACCCAGTCTGGCAGCAACTCGGGGACCCCTTCTTCAACCCCCACTAACACGGTCACCCAAATTGGGCAGCCACAGGCAGGCACCAGCACAGTTGGGCATGTGGCTGCAGGTGCTGGAGGGAAAGAAGTGAGCAAGCAGAGCACATACTACCAAGGGTGCTGTGCCAGGAGGTCCTAGAGGGTGGGACCATAACTTTCAGAGGGTGGGCATCTGGGCTTGTGTGCATGCTCCTGGGCTGCTCCTGGGCTGCTGCACATCAGGGTTTTGGAAGGCACCTGAGAAGACCCCTGCCTGTTGTCCAAACAGAATCCGCACTACAGGGCTCTGCCTGATTTCCAGTGGACACATTACTCTTGCCTGCAGAGCAGTCCCAAGCTACACTGTAGGTGCACGCCCGAGAACAAGCACCCACGTACTATTGCAGTGTGAGGGCCACACAAGGGATGGTGCACCGCTGCCTGCAGGAGGCAGCCAGCAGCCACCCTTCCCACCCCACTCCAGGGTGGACAGGAACCTGGAATGTGGGTCCATGAAGGGGGCATCTTAGCCTGTTCCACAGAGAGGTGCATCCGGGGCTGCTCTCCCTGCATGGCCTGCTGGAGACACGAAGCCAGGCCCTGGGGACAGAGAAGGGGGTGAGCAGGTTGCCCCTTTGGCTTAGGTTACGTGGGAGAGTAGAAGGTGTGGACCAGTGAGGATAAGAGTGCAGGGTGCTGGCTCTCAAGTCTGGATGTAAGAAACCCATCCAGAGGTCAGGAAGGGGTGGGGCTGGTGGCCCTTGGGCATCTGAGGGCTGTGGGGACAAAGTTGTCCAGTAAATGAATAACCTGGGAGTTTGGAACTCTGCACGCTGGCTAAGACTATGAAACCAGAAGAGTGAGCTGGGGAATCAGGACTGAGAGGAAGGAGAGGGCCCGGCTCAGCAAGGCCATGGGGGATGTAGCCAGAACTGAGGAGTAAGGGAGAAGCACGTGCAGGAAGCTGTACCATACCGGCAACAGTCAAGGCTTCAATGAAGGCCAAGTCCAGTGAGGACCACCGAGGGTTTATCTGTGTAGAACTCACTAAGTCAGGAGTAGCTCTTCCAAAGCCACTTCCAAAGCGGCCAAGAGGCCCCGAGTGGGGAGGAAGTGGCTCAAGGTCATGAGATCGTCCTGGAGAACTCAGCTCTGAGGAGGAGCCCGGCAGGTGGTGGGAAATGCTGAACGATGACAGTCAGTTGGGTTTTGTTTCGCTCCCAAGTGGAAAAGGGGAGAGTCCTTAGAAAGGGTGTGTTCACCAACACAGCCGGATGGCAGGCAGGTTCCCATCCATGCTGCTGTGCCATCAAGACCAGCGCAGATGGCTCAGGGGAGGCAGTGCTGGACATGGCACTGATCAGCTGGAGTCCAAACCCCACGTCCTGAGTCCTCACTCTGCCGCTTGTCCTACTGTCCACTGCTGTGAGATGGGACCGCTAAACTCCACATGCTCGCACGCTGTGAGCTGGGGGGGCCTGTGGGTGTGCTTGCACTTGGTAAATGGTGACCTGAGAGGCGCCCCCACCACCATCTATGTGGGGCCGCCGAGGTAATCACCTCACCGCTGCTCTCTTGACCGCTTTTGCTCATGTGACTTTCATCTCTTTAGGAACCTGCTGACGGGCCCTGTTAGTCCGATGCACCGCTGTTTGGAGAAGAGGCCGAGACCTCACCTGGCAATGAGAGAGGAGGCCTAGCAGGCGCCATGGGCTCCCCCCGTGGCACCTCCCAGAGGCACAGAGACAGATTCCTCAAGATGCTGACGAGACTGCAGGTTCTTACCTTGGCTTTGTTTTCAAAGGGATTTTTACTTTGTTTAGGGGACCATAACTTTCAGAGGAAGGAGATTAAAATAGAAGGTGACCTTGTCTTGGGGGGTCTGTTTCCTATTAACGAGAAAGGCACTGGGACCGAGGATTGTGGGCGAATCAATGAGGACCGAGGGATCCAGCGCTTGGAGGCCATGCTGTTTGCGATCGACGAGATCAACAAGGACAGTTACTTGCTGCCTGGGGTGAAGCTGGGTGTCCACATATTGGACACGTGCTCAAGGGACACCTACGCCTTGGAGCAGTCCCTGGAGTTTGTCAGGGCGTCTCTGACCAAGGTGGACGAGGCCGAGTATATGTGTCCCGATGGCTCCTACGCCATTCAGGAGAACCTCCCTCTGGTCATCGCAGGAGTCATCGGCGGCTCCTACAGCAGTGTCTCCATACAGGTAAGCGGCACAGCTGCTGCTCAAAGGCGTGCGTCCTGGCTTGTGTGACCAAGGGGCAAGGGCAGAAAAAGCAGGGATATTAACAGTACAAGTATTAGTCCCTCTGGGCATGTGGGGAGGCCCTGAGTGGGGAGGAAGGTCTTCAGACAGAACCTTCTGCTGCCAGTGAAAATTGTTCAGATGTGTCAGGCAGCTACTACTGCGATATTAACTGCCTCCCAAATTCAGCGGCTTGACAGGGGTGTGTATGAGCTTATAAGCTGAAGATGCAGCAGCATGAGCCAGCAGAGGCCGGGCCTAGCCGGGTGTCTCTTCCTCGGCTGTGTCTTCTCCCTCTGCAGTCCAGGTCAGCTGCGGCCGCTCCTTCCTGGAGGACAGCAGAGGGGGGGAAAACACAAACTCACACGTGAGCCCCTCTCAAGCTCTGCCTGCGTCCAGTTAGCAGAAGCAACTCACAGGGCTGGCGAAAGAACGCCCTGCTGCACAGAGAGTCCCACAGCCACGTGTCCTGAGATGAGGTGACACGAGGCCACCCACACAGCAAACCCCAGGAAGGCTCAGTGTCCCTGAGTGCTCACCAATTCTTGCTAAAGCATCATTTGCCCTGAGACAAAATGTGATGAGCATCTCAGGATATAAACCTCAAAATGTACGCAGGGAACCCAGTCACTACTTTAAAAAAAAAGAAAGAAAGAAACCTTTGACACACAAGTTAGACTACATGAAAAACTGATAACTGGCTCACGATTTTGTTAGGGAAAAAAGAAATACATCCTTCAAATCCCTGCAATTGTCACTTACAGGCCAGAGAAGGTTAGAGCTAAGAAAGCGCTGTGAAGTCACTGGCTCAACCTTCTCATTTCCCAGTTGCCAAAAAGATTAGATCCGTGAAACCCCCTCAGCAGGCAGCACAGGGGCTGGAGCTGAAGTGGGCCCTGTGCTTTTGGGCTCTCTCAATGCCTGTGTGACTTCTGTGTGGTACCTGAGGCTCAGTGTTTTTTCACGGCTGCAGGAGTCGAGCCCTTTGGCCCCATCCAAATTCCTGTCATCAGAGCCCCAAGCACTAAAAAGCAGCATGACACCCATGTTGTCTTTACAAGGCACAAGCCCATTGCACTGGCTCTATTTGCATTGGAATTACCTCATTTCTTTCCCAGATTTGTGGCTTTTAAAATTCCATCTATAATTCTGTGCTGTTCAAAATGAGTACTTTCTAATTTCTTTCCTTCTTCCGAGCACACAGTCGTATTATGAGTAATTAGGATAATTGCTTTTTCATAAACACCCTTTGACTTCATTAGACAGATAGAAAATATTGCACAGCTCAAAGCACATCATGTTCATTTTGTCACTAATTTTAAACGCAGATCAGGAGAGATAGAATTTGCTATTTGAGAAGGAAGAATTGAAGATATTTATCAGCCATACTTCAGTAATAATTTCACTGAGGTCTGTCACCTCATAGTTATTTACACTGCACCAAACGCGACCCCTGGTTGGAGGTTGCATGTGCACTTTCTCTGATGTCCATCTCTCCCAGGGCAGGAAATGGTCCTGAACAGTAGATGCGTCCATAATGTGTTATCCAAAGTAGTTCACAAAGATGGTCCTGCCAATAGATTTTTTCACCTAATTTTGTTCCTTTGATACTATACTCACCTCAGAAGAAGTCAGATTGGCCTAGGAGAAAAATGTAGGGTTCTAAAGCCCAGTTCTTGTTCAAAGAAAGAAGCTTCTTGCCACCCAGAGACCTGGCTCATCACTTCATTCATCCAGTCAGCATCACCATAGAGCTCTGAATGCTTACACGGCTTTTGTTTCCCAGTATAAACCAGAAACTCCACTGTCTGTCATGAGCGAGGGCACAGACTTTGGCATCAGAAAGAACAGGATATGAATTAAAATTACACCATTGACTGGTCAGCTACAAAATGAGAAAAGCAGGGTCTACCTCAGAAGGTTGTGGAGAGGATAATTCGAGAAAAATATGCCTTCATTAAAAAATTAACAGATTCAATAATTGGTTCCTGTGATGCCCCTAAAATTACAGGAAAAGTCAGCAGAACAGCTCCAGGCAGAGCCCACTTGCTGGCCTCCAGTGGCCCACTGTCTAATGGAACCATCACTAGTGCCCGTGGTTGACCAACAGGTTGATCCATGTAAAGCCCGCTGTGTGTCCTGCCCTCTCCAGGGGCCCCAGGGCACACCACAGTCCTGCAGGAGACAGCCCTGAGATCTGGCTGCAGGTGCAGCTCTGCAGGAGTCAGTACTGATGCTCAGAGCACATGCACATGGCTAAAGGCTCCTAGAGGATGGAAGGGTGCCTGGGGGGGAGCCAGGAGGGCCACGGGTAGAGTCACAGCAGACATTCACAGCAAGAGTGAGGGGCATCGAGGGAAGAGGGTCCCGAGCAGGGCTCCCCTCCTCCACAGTCCCCCGGTTCTATGACCCCTCAGCCTTCACTTAGGCCACATGCTTCAGGGAGCTGGGAGCTGGAGCGATGTCGACACCACGACCTCCAGGCACCTTCTGAGGGCCTGAAGCATTGTAACTGAAAAGGCACCCGCAGAGGCCTGGGCAGAGCTAGGAGTGAGTGTGTCATCTTCCAAAATGCGTCTGTCCTTGAATAAAGCTTTGTGAAGATGCAGCCATGCAGCCCACAGCAATAAGCTCCCCATGTGAGTCTAAAACGCTCTTCTCCATCTCCCCTCTGGTGCCTCCACAAGGGAAGCACAGGGCGGAGAGGGCCTTCCTGGGCGGCTCCCACACTCACTCGCTGCTTCCTCCGCGAGTGTCCTGGCCGGGCACCTGGTGCTTGACAACCTTGTGTCACCTGGTGGCTCATGATGCAGCCATCCCCTTCCCTACTCTCAGCCCCTGCATAGGTACTGGGAAGACCCCTTGTGTGGGCTGCATGGAAAGAGGGTGAAGCTGTAGAAGAGGTAAACCAGCACAACCTGTCACACACTTTCTAGACCCCCTGCCAGTCACCCGCCACACCTCCTCACAAGCCAGGGTGCAGAGATCTCGGGAACCTTGGAGCCAGCTGAGGACGAAGAGTGATGGTGCGTGGGCCTCCCCCTGTGGCCAGGTCTGTGGCTCAGTCTCCCCAGGTGGGCTGGGTTGGCTTCCTGGCTGATGTTCCCAGGCTGTCCTCTGTCCCTCTTGCTCTTCTTCCCCTGCAGAGTCCACTCCATGGCCACGCCAGTTCCTACGCAGGCAGCCTTTGAGAGGAAGTGGGGGAATTCTGAGTGCAGGGTGAATTCTCACTGACTTGCCGGGTGAGCTGGGTTGGTGTGGAGGACGACCTGGATCATCATGGTCCCTGGCTCTGCTCAAGGATGGCACGCCCCTCTGCAGGGCCTTGTTAAAGAACCATCTTGATTTCTTAATTCAGAACCCATGAAAGTGAGCATCAGAGTCCCTTTGCACTAGCACAGAGTCTTGGGGGTCTCTTCACCCTCTGCTGAACACGTTCTCAAAGTATTTTAAGACACTGTCCAGACCTGCTCTATATAAACCACTCAGCTCAGGGATAATCGAGTTTCTTCAAAGAGAGGTTCAGGTCCACAGCCTTCAGCTGTATGACTGACGGTCTTCACAGTACTCAGGAGAGCTGTGTGCCCCTGTACTTTTCAAACAGGTGGTTGTCAACCCCTAACTCATCCAGTCAAAAATGCTCCTGACTCTTTCCAGAGGGGTTTTTGAACCAGCTCTTTCCTAAATGAAGCAGATTTTAGCGGGGACATGACAGGTGTGCATTGATTCAGTGGTTGCTTTGCCTCTGAGCATTGAAGTAGCTTCAGCAACAAATGCGGACTTGGGTGAGATGGCACCGAAAAGTCTAGCTCATGTGGTGCAGAAGTTTGCCTTGGAGGGCTTTCCCCTCCTCTCACATCCCTGGTACTGTGAGACCCTTCCTCAGAATTTCTAGCACCTTCCATACACCAGGAACTCTCCAGCTCTGACAGGTGGTCACTTACTCAGACCCATTCCCTAACTGAGAGGTGTCACTGACTCAGCCTTGCACGCCATGGTTTTGGATGTGTTATGAATTGTACATATCATGTACTTGAGACGCTCACTGATTATCATAGCACTCTGGAAGGCTGAGGCAGGGGGAATGCAATTTCAAGCCCAATTTAGGCAACTTAGTGTTTAGCGAGACCCACAAAATGAAAAATAAAAACAAGCTGGGGATATAGGTCAGGGTGAAAGCCCTGGGTTCAATGCCCAGTATCAGAAAATAAAATAAAGCTCACAAAACAAACACCACTAAATCCTTGGCAGTTAACTTGGATATTTTAGCTCTGTGGGGAAAGGGGGAAATGCACATAATGACATCCCTCCATCCTACACCTCCCCCCGACTCCACAGTGCTAAGTGGACCACCGCCCGTCAATCTGTGTTAGGCACTGCCTTCCTACCGCAATTGATCCTTTCCTCACGAAAATCCCAGTGCCCCTGGACAGGGTCACACATGAATTTCTTGTCTTAAGCAGAATTAAGAAATAGTGCAAGGCCTTGGGGTACAAAAACCTTCAGAGCAAGCCATCTGCTGGTGCCTGGCAGATGGCAACGTAAACCCTTGCACTCACTGTGTGTACAGACGCTGAATCTGGACAGTTTCTCCACCCAGGCAGCCTGGACGTTGCGGCTGGGGCGCTCTGTTCCAGGGGACCGTCCTGCGTATCACAGAACAGCTGGCATCAGCCCTGGCCTCTCCCCACAAGCCGGCGGCAGCCCGTGCTGAGCCCCCAAAGTGTTCGCGTCACCACCAGGCTATGGAACAATCCTCTCCCCTCACTGAGAGTCGCTGTCCCAGAGCAAGGTGAATTCAGGGCCAATGCAAGAAAGAGTCCTTAGAAATGAAATTGCCTGGAAGGGAAGGCATACAAGGAAATAAGTCCTCTCTCACCAGGTATTCAGCAAAATCTGACCTTTTATTGAGGACATCAGAGCACCATGTTAGTATTTGAACCACGTGGCATCTCAGGTGT